CGACTCCCAAATCGCTCCGTTTCTGCCCACTCCAAAACCCATGTAACACACTTGAGCTTGTGATTTTATTTAAATTGCTTTTTTTTAATTTAAATTGTGATTTAAAGCAATTTTATTAAGCCCTTTCATCCCATGGTTTTTCCAAGGTCAGGGTTTGGGGTTTTCTTGACAAATCCAGAGGGGAGCAGGATGCGTTGCTCGGAAGGGACAGAGGGTGGTGGGGGCTGTCATCGGAGAGAGGGCACGATAATCTGGGTGCCGGGAAACATGGGCAAATCCCTGGAGCTGGCAGGGAGGTAGCAACAAGTTGGCTCTGAAATTAGTACTCAGGAACTAATGAGCAAACTCATCACCAGACAGGAGCGCTTGTTCCTGTTGCCCATCAGGTTAACCGGTGCCACCAAGTGCTTCCAGGAGGCCCTTTCACAGTCACAGTTGTGACCTGAGTGTGAGACCCAGTGGCTGGGATTTTCTTGCTTTGAATACGATAACCCTGGCAATGCCCTTCCCCAGCCCCGGTGGCAAGGGGAAAGAGAAGCCAAAGGACTTATTTCTGTTTGCCCCTGTAGTTCTCCTTCAGCTTTTAAGGCACAACTGCTCTTCATGCAGCACCAGCAGTGGTACTTCAGGCGAGGAGGGCATCAGCTCTCAGCCCTTGGGTTTTGTAAGGAGAAAATCGGTGTGTTTGGTGGGAAGTGCCCTTGCAGCAAGGGAAGCTGGAGCCTTGTAGGGCTGAAGATGAAGTTTTGTCCTTACAGGCTCTTGGGGGCCTTTGGAGGTTGTTGGTGGCCATGTCCTGTGGCCAAGGGCCAGCTAGTGAGTCCTGCAGGTATCGCCTTTGGAGACTGTAACCTGCTGTGATAAAAAGTGCAGGGTTTGGGTTTTTTTTCCCCCCAGTTTGGAAATCCCTCTTTGTTTGTTTTTAGAAAGCAATGACAAGAAGGAAGCAGGAGGTTTGTTTTTCTGGTCTGAAACCCTCATCTCTCTCTCCCTGTAGTAGATACTTCTTGACTCATGTTGTGTACAATATAGGTGGTGTTATGAGCTGTTTTATTTGGGTATGGGAAGATTAAAAAAATGTTTGAACTTTCTTTGAAACATATGCTGGGCCATTGTCTGGTTTAATTTAGTGTGGTACCCCAAGTATAGTAAAAACCTTCTGCAAATGTCAAATCACATCTTTTCTTGCTTTTCCATTATGTGCTGTTGTTACCAAAGCATGAGAATAAATATCAATAGAAACATGAACATATTTCTGTTGGCCAAACTTATTTATATGAGTAACATCAGTTTGCCAGATCTGTAAGGCCTGCATATCTCTGGGATTAGTACTAAAATACACTGGAGTGTGAGTTCCTTGATAATCAGGGCAAGCAGCTACAATAGAGTGAGTTTCAGTATGGGACAAGATAAACTGGTGTCATAGGGCTCGAAAACTTTGATGAAATGAAAATTGATGTGATAATACAGCTTCTTTTGTTATGTTAGGAACAGTACTCAGGGCCATAGCAGAAACAAGAGCATCCACTCTGGCATTACCTTCCATATAAAACCGTGGTAAAGTAGTATGACTACGAATGTGCATGATAAAATAAGTTTGTAGCTGAATACTTTTCCAGAGTTCCATTTGTTGTTTTTATACCATACTACTGCTGCTTTACCTGTTTTTCCTGAGCCATCTGTAAAGACAGTGGGGCCTTTTACAGGTTCTGGCTGGCTTAAATTTTTCTGACCAAATGGTATTTCTTGAGCAAATTTCACTAGCGCTGCAATGGTAGATGATACAACATCTGTCCTGGAAAACCTGCCATGGCTGCTTGTAGATCATAATTATTTGCCAGACACCAGTCAAAATACCAATTCTGAACAGGTAAAACAATCGTATATCAACGCCCTGTTAGTTCTAAATATCGTATTCTGGCTTTTATGATTACATAAGCAATAAGTTCAAACAGTCCAGGAGCTGTTTTTCGTGGCTGGAATGATAAACTCATCCATTCTAAAATATGTAATGGGTCATCCCACTCAGGATTCCATTGCACCAAAGCACCAAATGTCAGAGTCAGTACTGGTAAAAGTATACATACAGCTGGAGCTGCTTTCAAGCATCTCAGCTACCTAATGCTGTCTCCTCTGTGCTAGAACTTAAGGCTGTTCAAGAAGGACTTGAGCTCAGGTCAGTGCATCTTGTATCAGTTCAAAGAGCAGTGTAAGACCTTTAGTTCTTTCTCTCATGACTCTTCCCTGGAGGAAATGGGTATCTCTTAGTGAAGTGCAGGTCTTGCATTAAGAAAGGGAAAGTATGTGGCCAATTTTCAGCTAAGGGCGTGTTTTATCTCTGAGATACTTTGCTGCTCCTTTTAAACAGGAAAATTGGGGAACTATCAAGCCTTTGCACCCAAGCATCATTTCCTGATCAGGTGAGTTTTCACCTCCCCAGGCAGCCCAAAGAGGCAGTTCAGGTTAGTAATAGCTAGCTCTCTTAGGGCGAGTAAACACAACACGGGCACAATTACATGATACAGATGGTTCTTCAGAGGCAGTAAGCTGTTGGCTACTACAAGTGGCAGGATAGAGAAATAATGCAGCAGTTCCTATTATCTGTAATAGGAGGATCTTTATTTTTAGGCTTGATAGCTTTAATTTTTTAAATCAAAATAGCAAAAGGTAACATCCCTAGCGAGCTGGCGCTATTCTTGTTTTGCAGTGATTGAAATGCAAAGCGCTGAATACGAAGGATGGGGGCATTATACCCAGATACACACTGGCCTTCTGAGGAGGACGAGACAAATGAAGTAATGTCTGTCAGTGTTGATAGGTACTAATTAACCCTTGCTTCTGCCATTTGCTCCTACCCCCACGTGTGTGAATGGCTCCTGATGCCATTCAGCCTGAGGAAAGTGTGAGTTTGATGGGATTGTTAATCTGCTCGAGGGCAGGGAGGCTCTGCAGAGAGACCTGGACAGGCTGGAGCCATGGGCTGAGCCCAACTGGGGGAGTTTCCATAAGGCCAAATGCCGGGGGCTGCCCTTGGGCCACAACAACCCCCAGCAGCGCTACAGGCTTGGGGAGGAGTGGCTGGAGAGCTGCCAGTCAGAGAGGTACCTGGGGGGCTTGATTGACAGCCCAATGAACAGGAGCCAGCAGTGTGCCCAGGGGGCCAAGAAGGCCAATGGCATCCTGGCTTGTGTCAGAGGATCTGACCCCTGTACTCGGCACTGGTGAGGCTGCACCTCGATGACTGGGTTCAGTTTTGGGCCCCTCACTCCAAAAAGGACATTGAATGACTCAGCGTGTCCAGAGAAGGGCAACGGAGCTGGTGCAGGGTCTGGAGCACAGGTCGTAGGAGGAGCGGCTGAGGGAACTGGGGGGGGGTTTAGTCTGGAGAAGAAAGGGAGATCACCCTCTACAACCACCCGAAACCAGGTTGCAGAGGGGGAGGATGAGCCTCTTTAAACAAATAATAAGCCACAGGACAAGAGGGAATGGCCTCAAGTTGCTCCAGGGAAGGTTTAGAGTAGATGTCAGGAAGTATTTATTTCCAGAAGGAGTTGTTGGGCGTTGGAATGGGCTGCCCAGGGAGGTGGTGGAGTCCCCATCCCTGGAGGTGTTGAGGAGGCGGGTTGATTTAGCGCTGAGGGATATGGTGTAGTTGGGAACTGTCAGTGCTAGGTGAACGGTTGGACTAGGTGATCTTCAAGGTCCTTTCCAACCTAGTTGATTCTTGTGATTCTGTAAAGGACAGCCAAGCTTTCTGGGTGCCCACCGGCCACCCTGGGTGAGTGGGAGCACCATCTCTCCAAAGAGCACCGGGAAATCAACGTTCGCTTGTGCATCGACTCTTTTTCAAAATGAATGTAAAAATTCAATTAATTGTAAAAATTCACCTCTTTTCAAGCAGCACAGGGCGGTAGGATGGAAGATGGTGATGATGGTTGCAGGGCTGGGGTCCCAGCCCTCAGCAGGTGAAGGAGTTTGGCAGGCATCCCTGTCAGCCAAGAGCAGGGAAGGACTCCTGCAACCCAGGAAAGGCCAGACTGAGTGAGGAGCAGCAAGAGGTGGAGGATGATGGAGCCTGAGGCAGGCCTGACTGCAGAGAGGCGGAGGAGGAGTTGCTGCTCCGCTTTGTCTTGGACTTCATTTCTGGAAGGGGTAGGTTGCCTGAAGGTCTACAACAGCTCAGTGACAAAAACCAACACCTGTAATCAACTTCTGTGCATCCTCCTGAGCTGAAGTGGGGCCAGGGCAGTGATCAACGGATGGCCTGAAGCTCTGAGCTGCTGTTACATAGCACAGACTGTAAAATACAGGGGGTGTTGTCCCCTGGTGATTCCCCTCAGTGTTTCACAGTCACAGATTTTGTGATTTTTCTGCCTTCCCACACTTAGTTGCCCCTCCACTATTTATTTTAAGCAAGTTAACAGCTGCGGCTCAAATCTGTAGGGTCTACCCCTGAATTACCTCCAGTGGGGATAACCCCTCACCAGTCCCAGTGCAGACGGGATGGAAATGAGTCAGAGAGATGATGTAACATTTTTTTTCTCCGTATGTCCTCACAGAACTGCTTCCATCTCCATGCACTGCCACTGCAGCTAAAAATGCCTCCTGATAGTAGCCATCCCCCAGAACAAAGATGACAAGCGCCAGCACCCATCTGTGCCCACCAGAAGCAGGTTGCTGTTGTTTGGGCACATAAACATCAAGGCAGTGCTGGTAGCAGGGGGAGATCTCTGCTTCCCTGCAGCAGGTCATAGGTGCTGCCATGTGGTGAGGGGCATTCCTGGCAGGCTTCACCCTTACCAGAGGAAGAGGGCTTCAGCTCCTCCCACCTGGTGCACACAGCAGGGTCCTGCTTGCTTTTAGCAAGTGTAGGGTGGGCATCCCA